AAATACTATCGAGTATTGAGTATTCTGTTGGTTCTGGTGTCTGATTGGATTTGTCTTGTGTAGTGAGAGTGTTGAAGATGATTTGGATAGCCCATGTTTCTTTCCTCTAATCATGTTTTTCAGCTATTCTGACTATTGTATCGAGGATATGTAGCTCTCTTTTCTTAGTAATTTGCACAATTCTTCATTTCTTTGTCATATTTATCATGTGTAAAGGAGGATAAAATCTAATTCATTGTTTTGTTTATTCTTAATTTGTTTACTTGTTTATATTTAACAAGGTAGATATAGTTAATTGTTTGTTGTCTTGTTTACTTAGATAAGTTATTGATACTTCCTGTTTAGTTCTGTTTATTTATCAGATTTGATGTTGATCTCCTTTATTATGAAAAATAAGTCATTTATATGTAGACACTTGATAAATCTTGCTATGTTGTTTTGATCTTGAATTGTTTAACGTGTATACATTTGTGTAACTTGTTTTAATGCTTAGACAGGTATGTATGGAATCAAAGTACTCTACTGTTTAATTTTGAGGAGCCTTTGATATCTTTCTAGACTTTATAAACTTTGAGTTTACTTGATTTATTAGTAGGAACTATTGTTTGTAAAGTTCCTTTTAGTGCCTAGAAAGGTGTAAACTAATACTGGCCTGGCTAGAAGCTTGGGAAGTTGATATTAGACTCTCCTAAGCTTACTGTAAATCAGCTTGTAGATGTGTTTTCCTTCCCTTGTAAAGTAAAGCTATTGTAATGCTATACTGTCAAAACTTCTTTTAATCGATAGAGTAATCTCTTGAGGGAATGGTTAAATATTCTAGGTTGTTAATAAATCTTGAATCTTTGAGGAATAAGGTATTTTTTAGGCTGGCTTTTTTTTTTCAAGAAAATTATCAAAAAAGGAAATTTTTAAGGAAAAAGGAGATCAACGGAAAAAATTTTTTTTTTAAAATAAAATAAAATAAAAAACTATATTTATAGATATCATAATTAGAATATTATATATACAGTAATTGTTGTCTACTTATTACATCAATTATATATTATATCATATTAGTATATATAATCATTGAAGATTTTGAGTAATAAAATTTTTTAATTAATAATAGTTTGTAATCAAATCATCATTTTTAGCTAAAATTTATATGATTATAAAATAAATATATAATATTTTCATGATTAAAAAATTAAATCAGAGTCAAAATAAAAAAGATTTATTAATTATAATATAAATTAAAAATTTTAATTGCTGCTTACTAAAAACCCTTGTCTCTATAATTTTAAACACATACATATCCTTATTATTTTATCTAAAAGTTGATTTCTTTTTTTTAATAATTAAATTTTTGTTAGTTAAAAAAACTTGTTTTATAAGTATACTAGTTATCAAATATGAAAATTATTATTTATTTATTTTTCACCATTTCAAAATATCTGTTTTTTTTGTTACTTAATATAATAAAAAATATAGTTATAATTCATTTTTATTTTTTATATATCATCACTTAAATAATTTTTTTTAACTATATTATATGGTTTTCTTATATTGATAACTTTTATAGTTCTTAAATTTAATTCTTCATACTTTTGAAAAATATTATCCATACTAGCAATTTAAAAAATATTTAATATTAGCAAGTTATATTACAAATAAGTATAAATACAATAAATATATTTGTTTTTTTTTTTATCTCTTTAATTAAATTTCTTTTACCATTTTCAACAAAGTATTCTATTTTAAATAATGGATTTAAAATAATTGCTAGTATATAAATTTTATTTATTTTATTATAATATTTTAAAATTTTATTCCAATATATTTTACTATTTCTTTAATATTCAAATTAATTCAAATTAATTCTATTATTATTGATTATATCTTTCAAATAATCAATTAAAATATTATATAATAGAATTGTAATAGAAAATATTAGGTATATAATGCTAATATTATTATAGTTGTTTCATGAAAATACTCAAGAAATTTTATTATTTGTTCAAATATATTCTAGTCATTATCTATAAATACATAGTTTTTTAACTTTTGATTTAATATTATAAGATATTTAATTATCAAGTAGTTATTTTTAAAAACTCTTTCTGTTGATTCTCTGACCATACATAAAAAAGATATTTGTAAAAAGATTTTATACTTCCTTGCTAATAAAGTCTTTATACTTTTATTAAAACAACTTGAAGTTTATCTTTACTTATTTCTATTACTCTCCTTTACTTGTTTATAAACTCTTTTGAATAAAAATTTGGGTCTTTAGTAGCCTGAAAAGACTCAAATATATATTTTCTCTACTAAGGGCAAGAAAGTTCTAGAAAGTAAAAGGACTGACAAATAAAATATTACCTTAAAGAGTTAGAAGTAACAAAAATAGAAGTTTTATTGACTGAAAAAAACTTATTATTTACCTTTTTACATATTATTTTATATCCTTTTAGAGAATTTACTGTTTTTCATAGTTTTCTCAAAAAATTTTGCCTATCTTAGTTTGATTTTGCATTTTTGATAACATATTATTACCTGGTATCTAATTGATTAGCACAAAACACGTTAGTAATAAAATGTAAACAAGCTCCTATTGATTATACCCATATATTCCGATGACATTATTAATAAATAAAAGAGTTAATTAATGCTCTAGTCCTACCTACTTTTTCAATTGGATTAACTTACAGATTAAGTTCCATGAGATCAATAAGATATGAGCAACAAGTTTTCAGATAATAAAAAAGTTACTATTTGTTCAAACCAAGATCTTTTTCTTCTATTATCTGGATCAGACAAATTTCAAGATCAAGATCTCTTTTTTATTCTAGTCAAGCAATAAGATCAAATAGTCTCTAATTTATACTAAACTCCAATTCTTTGATTATAATTGAGAATACATTTCCCCAGAAGTTGTTGAAGAATATTATAATTGACAAGGGTCTCTATTACTTTTCAAAACCTTTCTACCATTACAAGACAAAAGATTGAAACAAAGTATATTATTAGAAATAAAGGTTTCTATTAAATAATAAGTTTTTTAAGATAATATATAAGAAGAAAATCAAGACTAAGAATAAATAAGTTTCTCAAATAGTTAAAAGAATAAAGAATATTCTAATCCAACATTTTTTATTAAGAAGAGATTTTGAAAAATGAATTTTTAGAAAAAGTTGAAAAAAAAATTTTTTTATTTTTTTTTTTGTAATATACTTGTATATTTTTAGATATTCTTTTTCTTTTTGTTTCAACCCATTTCTTTATAGTTTTTTGTATTATAGTGACTTGATAAGACATTTAACAATACCAATCTGTTAGCAATAATGTAATAGACTAGGAGTGTATTCATCTAAAGATTATTGTGAAGTGAAATATTGTTCTTAAGGCCAGATTTAAAAACTATTATTGCTTATAATGAGTTTGCTAGATTTGATAAAAATGTTTAGCTGTAATATGTATCATGCTACTTGAGTGAAAATGTACTTACGTTTCAATTAATTAATGAATTACAATTTAACTTGACTATAGGTATCAAAAAAATATTTTTTTTTATATTTATATTTATCAATTTTTTTTTGAATTTTAACATATCACAAGACAAAAGTATTATTTTTATAAAGTTTCGACTATTAATTAGAAAAATAAAATACCTATTATATTGTATTTTAGATATAATATAAATTATTATAATTAAATTATTAAATTATAATAAAGACAAAAAAAAAAGAAAAAGAATAACAATCAGTTTCCTAAAAGACATTAAATATATGCGGCAATAAATAGTTAAATATTTAATTATACTGTACGTCCAGTTTTTTATAATTACAAACTTTAAAAGTAAAAAAAAAAAAAAAAAAGTTTCAGATTGAAAGATAATAAGACAAAGTTGGCATTGAATTCTTGGATTAGAAATCAATTATCAATAATCAATCGATCACTTCAATGATGGATTACCCTTTTGGTTTAAAAGAACTGGATTCGTTCTTATGTAACATAGAACATTAAACTAATCGTTGATCTTTGAAAATTAACAACACATGGTATGTAGACTTATTTTGGAAGTGTAATGCCTTTTTCGATAAATTTTTTTTATATTACTTGCAGTGGTAATAAATAATTATAAATTGTAACCAAATGCAGGAATTTCTAATTCAACGACTAGCATTTGTAATACGAAATACAAAGCACGTCCTCGCAAATATTCACTGATGCTTCAGCGGACAAATGTCATATAGTGTGACAGTGCATTGCCAAGACAAGACAAAAAAGGCTTTCCTCCGCCTCCCATGTTGTCCGTGTGCCTTGGATTTCGTTAACTGAATAAACAGATAAACAGATAAACAGATAAATTTGGTTTGGTTTATCGGTGCATTAAATTTTTTGCGTATATGGATTGCCTGATTCGGTCGTCGGAAAATGGTAATTATACGGACTATACGCGAATTAACTCCAGCATTGATCACGGAGCACTGTTTAGAATTGATATTGATTCGAAAATACTGTATACCTTATGTTCGTGATTTTCGTAAATAAAGAAAAATTCGAATCGTCTTTAACTGTTTGTGACCCAATTGGTCGCTTTAACAACGAACTTCCGAGCCGTTTTCTAAGAAATTTCAACTCACACCCCATAAATCATCAATCGCATTACACACTGAGCAATCCTACTTTACTGAACTGAGAAAATACTAGGTAAAATAAGAACGACCTTCCCGCATACGGAGAAAATTCGTTCATTCACTTGTGAAGTGAGGAGTCATTTATTTAAAACTTGATTACTTATGATCATACGCAAAAAAGATTAATATTTACAGTGGAATCGAAAAGAAAATTCTGGCAGCAATGATGCTGTTGGTGTGAAAAGACTCCGATTCTTGATCATACTAATTTTATAAATTCGAGGGCGATAGGGGAGTAGGTTCAAAAGTCTATATATGCACAAAATAATTGTGGGTGATTCTATAATAAGTTTATACTGGAAGAACTTTACATGTTGAGGAGAATTAGTACAAAGGATTATAATTATAATCCATCAGATTGATGACAATCGTGTCACTTTCACCTCTGATCTGAGGTTCAATAGCGGCATACACGAGGAGCGCCAAACTTAGGGCCAGCAATAGGTGAAAAACAATCTTCTCCGACTGTGCAAGATCAAATATGCAAGACGTAGGAGAGGTCGATAGTTCAGCACGGTGCGACTCCACTGCCAGTTGAGTTTTCAAGGATAACAACATTTTGCAATTCTCTTCGAAAAATAATCTAAAAGGTCTCGCTTTTTTAATAATTATAGAATGTATGTGCTTTTGTGCTATGGGAAATGGAATCGGATATTAGTGGATTGGACCTTTCTTTCTATAGATGCACTTCTAAATTGATTTCAAGCTCGGGAAAATGAGCGGTAGAGAGAAGTGAAGGAGGTGAGGATGGATTGTGTGGAGACGAGTATTAAAGAAAGTAAGAAGAAAGAAAGAAGTCTATTAAAGGGTGGAGGGAAGGTATTTAAGGGAAGGATGGAGAGAAATGGAGGGAAGCGCCAATCACACCTTTATATCTCCATACGGTGTTACTTTGTTTTAATGCGTTTAATTAATCGTGCGCTCTTATTGTTGCACAACAAAATTAAATGCAACATTAAACATTTGATCCATGTTTTCACGTGCACTATAATGCCCAATGAATTGAGCGAAAATGCCGAGGGGGAACACGCGAAATTTTTCCATTTCTTGGCGAATCGTGGATAGGTGACCTTTGTGAAAAGAAAGATTTTTCTGATAAGTGATATCGATGAAAAAAAAAGTACCCAGGATTTTTTTGCGATGCGGGAAGCTGCACAGTCAAACGATTCATGTACTGTATGCAATAAACAGTGCGATGCTTAAATGTCATATCAAGTATGATCTCCATAATGCAATCTTAAATGATAAATGTATGACTTGTTGGCCATCTTTTCAGCATCAATAAATTTCAACTTCTTTTTCCCAGTAATAATCAATCTTATGGCGGGAATACTAATAAAAACGGTTTCAATTTTTCGACCTTGTCGATCAATTATCAATTATACTGTATATGGCCACATGTATAATTTTGCATGCATTTGATTAATGATCAAGTAAGATATCATTATTCCTATTTGAAATTTAATAATCAAAGAACGTACAGCGCAATACAGTATTTCTCATTTCATTATTATTTCGTTCTTTTACTAATAATCATTTCATTCTACAATAGGCAATGGGAACGAGAAAATGTAAATGAAACACAAAGAATAAAAAAAAAAGAACATTCTATATATATTTTAAATCATCTTGAATACATTAAATGCACTGTGAATGCCGAATAATTAGCAATATATTGTATAATACCGGAAAAACTTTACCGAGATTTTTTTCTTATCGTTATCTTGATTCTCTGCAATGTTAGACAAATCCAGTGTGCTGAAATAACGGCATGTCAAATGATTCTAAGCAAAGTGGTAGGGAAAAATAAAAAATTTAAGATTATCGTCAACTTAAAAATCAATAACATCCGTCAACTTTAAAACGACGAATTCGCGTCGAATACTCTTTTATTTCTGCCGTGTAATTCTTTTTTATATATATATATATATATTACAAAATATCGATTAGATGGTTTTTTTTTTTCTTGGAAAATATAAATAATTTACAAAAGGGAATGAATACAGAAAATCTCAGTGACAAGTGATGCTAACATTTTGATTGATACAATAACCAAGGAGATAAGTGTCCATTAAAAAAAGAAGGAAGGATTGACCCTCAATCCAAGTATGGTAAGAAAGAGTCCTCGAAAGCCGGTAGATCCTTGGGTATTCCCTCACGGGGAGCGACAAATCCATACCGTCGACGACTTTGTCGTTTCCGATAACGCAACAGCACCAACGAGAGTGGTGTCGTTGTGAAGGGAATCATTTCCGGGTCCGACTTTCTCAATGAATATCGCGCGTACATCATGTATGGTGATAAATAATTATTTGGTTTGACATAACCCCAACGCTTCTTTGATCTTTCGGAAACACTGAATGCGTCGCAGGGCTCTACCGTGGGAACATCATCGGGAGATTGAATTGTAGAATTTGAGTCTGAGAATTGATTGGTTGAGAATCCTGACGTAGAGATTGAGTTTTCTGACTCTGCAATCGGTGATGAATGTTCATGTATGGCATGCTCATGCAATGCATGCTCATACGGTATTATTGTGCATCCATTTGGTTGATCTTGGTGAAGGGGCGTCGCTGGATATGAAGGATATCGTGTGGGTGAAGTCGGAGATAGAGTTGAAGGTCGAGTGCATGAACATCTCAAGGTTGTAAACAATAAATGAAATTTGTGTTCTGAGAATAAAGAGGTGATGAATTAGCGTTAATGTTGGTCTTAATAAAGTATGGTGAGCGAGGATATCTCAAAGATTCAAAGATGCTTACCTGAATTAAATTTATCATTTGTTAGCACGGATATGGATTTCACGGATCTTCTTATATACTTCCCAACCTAGCAACGTATCAATCATTATTTCGTCAGCGATCAGTAGGAAGCATGGAATCGATGATTAAACTAGAAATTTACCTTTCCCAGAACGCGACTTGCTCTTTTGGCATCTTTGATCGATGAAAAATTTTTTGATTCCAAAGACATGCTTATCGTGTTCCAGCAAGAATAGCGATGAACGAAAGAAACTTTATTGAATAATTTATTATGGTATATATAGGTTGAATGATTCTTATTTTTTATTTTTTATTTTTTTTTTTGAAATATCAAATAAAAAATTCACAGAATTTTTACTTGATATAGTTAGGGTTGTGGAAAAATTCGTCGAAATCGAATTTTAGGAAAATGACTCTTACCCATTCCTATCCTTTTTAAATAGAAACCTAACCTCTATGCATGTCAAAAAAAAAGACAATCTATGAGGACAAAACGTCCTAGCCAACATTTTTGGTTACAATGCTTAGTAAAAAAAGGGAATAATAATAACGAATGGAATTGATTTAATTATAGGAACCACTGGGAAAAATGTACCACATAATACTATAATAACATTATCCATATATTCTGGTTAATATTATATCAGAAAAATTTAATTTGTATTGTCCTTGTCCTCATTATCGCAGTTTCCATTCTTTTCTGTTGTCATTCCTATGGTCCAATTTTTTTCCATGGTATTCCTTGTTAGTATAATAATCCTTGTACAGGAAATCCATTTTGTGAACATTGTTTGTCACAGATTATAACTCAAAATAGCATGTACACATAAATGCGTATACGATATCTACAGGGAACACCCGTATCTTTCTAATTTTATTCGCGCAGTTCTCGGCGAGGTCATAGTCCGATGATAGGGCTGTTCAATCGCCTGTTGACTCCGAGCATTTCGATGCACCGAAAATAATTAGGTCCGATTTACTGTAAGCAACCCTATAATGTCGTCTAAAAGACTACCCCTTTGTAATCATTACAGTTATAAACCTAGAACATAAACAGTCAAGTTTATTTTTTTACATATACAACACTGAATGTACAGAATATACAGTATATACGTATTTATATATATGTATACATCAACATGGGAACATTGCTTGTTGTGTTTTACGAAGAAAGAAAAGGCAACAAAGTCGCAAAATGTGTCAGAAAGGTACAAAAATGTCAACGGACAATTGACGCGAAAAAAAAAAAAAAACAAAGGAAGCAATGGATGAGGGAAAATGATTTAATAATATAACTATTATACACTAGCGAACTATGAATCAAAATAAGAAAGGTATTAAGCCATATGTCTGCGAGTAATGAATGCGTCCAACTGCCTTTTAACGTTCTTGCAATATTTCTGTATGGACTCGTACTCGACTCTTCGTTTTATTCCGGTTCTTTCATTACCCTCGTTGGTGTCGTCTCTATCCTCGTCACTTCCATCGATATAGGCTTCACCTCCAACCTTTCTTGTTTCAACGTCGTTATCACCGGTCACCGATTTTTCCTCATCCAACGCATCATCCTTCAAAAACATCCATTTCGCTTTATTGCACTTCGCTCGCTCATCCAATAACCAATTGACATATTCATTCTCTATTAATATTTTATCAATAGAGTTTATCTGCCTGAATGTCGATAACAGATTATATCTTATCACTGCAACTCTCTTGCGAGCATAATTTATTTCCTCGGATAATTGCCGATTGGAGTGAAGTAACCATGGATAAGGTGGATACTGGGTTCGTGTGTCGAGAAATTGACTGTAGCTAAGATGCAATAAAAATGAATGTCAATAATCATCAGGCGAATATAAGAGTAAGATGCCGTCAAATGAAAATACCTCTCGGGATCCACGACGCTATGCAGTACCTTTCCACTGCTCATGTTGAAAACTTGCTCTTCCAAATCACGAAGATACACCGAAGGGATTGTGTGGATAACTTTTGTGGGAAGCGGCGAATCGCATTTCTGAAATTTATTGACATTTCCGCTGTATATGAACGAATAAATGTTTGACGCAAACAACAGAACTAACATTGCTCCCAACAATCCGCTCATATTTACATTCGCCATTAGATTCATTAAAATCGTATTAACCGAAGAAAATACTTCGGCAAATCTATTATCATCTGACGATGACAGAAGCATAATTTTATTTGATTCCTGCATCCTGCTCGTTGAACCCGCACCACCAGTGATACTTTCTTCACCGCTGACTGTGTGTTTGAGGGGATAGTTACGACTCTTGTGTTGACGGTGGTTATGTGTTCGGCGTCGAAGTGCGGGGGCTGATCGTGATGGGGAACTTGAGAGCATCCCAGACTTTCCGTGTGCAATATCCGCATCGAGTAACTCTATGATGTCACAGACTGTTTCCGACAATCTGGTCATTGCTGCCTTCCGTGTTGCTATAAAAATAATTATAAGTCGCCAGTTGGAAGATCACAATAGTGATGATCATCTTCTAATTAAAGATACCTTTGTTGGTTGTCTCTCCTGACGATTTTACGCCAATATGGCACGTCAATTTACATGAAGTTTCTGTCTTATACGTGATGCACCACTTGGACAATGAGAGAAATGAATCACCGTGTAACACTTTGGTTTGAATCGACACGACGTAACATCTTTTTAAATTTTTATTCTCCATTAGATTCAATACTGAGTGAGAGGAAAGTTGAATGCATGATTGAGGAAACCTACGTGTAATCGTCACACCTCTGACATGTGTGTGTCTCAATGCATTCGGTTTCTTTTGCTTTGGCTAATAGATTGAGCGAAACAGTTGAAGGCAATTGGTAAGTTCTTATCCCATAAACGTTTCAAATCAAGCAATCGTAAATCACATACATGCAGAACCACCAATCGGAATCGACATAATAAACCTGAGCTCTCGCCTCCTCACGCCATCTTCATCTGCCGCCCAAGCGCCAACATATTGCAAAGTGTGTCTTTTCCTCTGATGCATTCGTTCCCATAATGAACTATTTTCAAATAATGTTTGGTATAGTTTTCGAGCCGACACCGGATACTCAACTTCCACCTCTAATTTTTCGAGATGATCAAAACAGCCACAAGCAACTGGACTAGTTGGGAGAATTGATGGTTGATCCTCATCTAGATGCACGAGAAATTTGATGCAGGTGGAATGAATATACGATGTAGAATGAAATTGATAATTGAAATTTCTTACCTCCTCTCGGTTGGACTGTAGAAAATCCAGGCCTAATGGGCTTGGGTGCCTTTAAGGAATTGCCACCGCTGTTTTTTCTATCAAAAAAAAAAGAGGTTCTTGAATAAATTCGAAACACACAAATCTACCAAAATTTAATGTAACATTTACCCAAAGGGAAATTCGTTTTCATGATTACTGTCACCGTGATTAATTTTATTAGGTGTTTTATCATGGTTTCCATGGATTTCGTCGTTATTTCTGTATTTGTCGTCAGTTTCTGGTTGAGTTCTCGACTCATGTGCATATTTTTCGGACGACAATGTGCCATTATTCTCGTCTGCTTCATTACTATAATACATCTCGACTTCGCTCGTCTCAGTCGACTTTTCGTTAGCTTCTCTCAGAGGCGCATTCTTGTTCTGCGATTCGTTCCATAACGCATCATAGATACCTTGTAACGTCGGAACCTATTCTCGAAAGAAAATCGAATGAATCAATGTGACCAATTTTTAAAATCAATCGATCTTACGCGTACCTTTTCACCCGTGACGAGTCTCCAGATCAACAGGGCTTTTTCATAAAATGATCTGTCATCGTTCAAAAAAAATTTTATAACATACTGAAGAAGAAGACATTCGTGAAATAATTTGGTAAATGTTTATTATAAAACCAATGAGAGATATACGTCATTTGAATGTTCTCGTACCTTTTGGTCACTCACGTCAGAAAATGCCACAATTTGCTGAGGATTGGTCGCCTCGAGGGACACTAATTTTATTTCTCGCCATGGAATGTAGAACTACCAAAAACAAAGTGAAGCTCAAAGGATCAAAAAAGGAGCAATATTTAGGGAATTAAACCAACTAATTTGTCCCATAAATACGCACTTTATTGACAACACTCATCACCACCGAATAGAAATAAAGTCGATCCTGCGTGAAATACACGCGTCCTCTGAACAGATTATCATCCTTCACCAATCCACCTTGATACACTTTTGAAAAGAAGGAGGGTCATGGCGATAAACATTAACGAATTCTCTTGAAAACACGATTTAATAACGAGGATCCTACCATCTAGTAAAAACTCTCTTTCTGACATGTCTTCAAATAGTAGGTGAAGTTGCAGATTATGCGCCATCAATATTTGTGGATATTCTGCTATCGACCTACAACAGGCGCAATAACAAAATATTTTTCTTCAATGTTTAATTAAATCCTATTATGCAACCATTACGATCACCACCAGTGATAAAGATTACCCACCCATCAATTCCAAATCCGACAGGCCCACTCCCGCTGCGTGATCTGTTATTCTTGATTTTTGAAAAAAACTTCTTCTTCCACTTAAAATCCTCTCCATCCTCATCCCCATCCCCTTCTGACCCGTTAACACTATTAATCAACATATTCATCGCCGGCATTATGCCCCACTGAATGCTACCCCAAAAATTCTGTTGATTAGATGATGTTGATGAAGGTGGTACGGTAGGGTTGACAGATTTTTCGTTATTTCCACCTGCCGACGACGGGGCAGACTGACTCCCATTATTACCATTACTACCATTGTTGGTGGTGACGATCGCGTTCATTGAACCTTGATTCCTCAAAGGCGGCGGGTAAGTAGGGTAACTATGTTGCGGTGCTAATCGTGCGCCCGGAGTTGTGGTCGACAATGTGGAAGTTGAACTTCTTTTGCTTATTATATTTGCATTGTTAACGGAGTTTCGCCTTGATTCCGAAGGGGGCAATTCCAACGAGTCATTTTGCGAGTTTTCACTGATAGGTCTCGGTGTGGATGCATGGTCGTCGTTGGAATGTTCACCATCTTCAGCGGCGGATTGACTGGTATCGCCTCCAAGCTCTTTGTGCGGAATTACTGTCGCAGCGGCAGAAGATGCTAGATCGTTTGATGAACTGAAAGCATGACGTTTTGCAGACTCAAAACACGAAATCCAGTCTTTGAGATCCAATTCGGTTTCAGCTTGAAGTACCCATGACATTCTTAGTATTTTTCATAATGATAATTAGAATCCGTTCGAGATCTGTAATAACCGGAAATGAAACAAACACTCACGGTTTCGCTCCGCAAACAATCTCAAAACAAAACCTTCGATCTTGCAAAGTGTCAACTCTCACTTCACAAAGTAAAACTCCTATCTTTTCACTTTCCTCAATAGCGGTACGTTGTTTTCCCTGTCCCACAGACGTCCACCAAAATATCCCGTCCTGTAAATAAAAATATTTTCTTGTCCATGTGCCTTTTCCATTTAACGGCTTCATAAAAAGATAGCCTTGTTTTGATGGTATATCATTGGAAGGCGAAGGAGGGCGATTTGACTGGTTAGAATCGGATGTGGAATGAATGCTAGGATTGTCTGTATATGTTGTTAATTCGCGTTGGGGTTTGTTCATGTTTACTGCTTCCTGCATGAAGAATATGATGGGCCGTCATTAAATAGGCAGATTCTAAAAACTTCGCCACCATTTAATATCTTTTGAGCATACATCTTCCAATTTTCTCCTCAAATCCTGTAATTTCGGTATCTGACTTTCATCACTTTTTCTACTCTAAAATTCAAGGGAACCTTAGATCCGCTGATCCTACAACTTCAGAATTATTATTATGCGAAAATATTACCTCCCACAACCAGCTCTTTAGTATATTCATTTGATTTTCATAACCTGAATATATCATTGCATTTGCGTTATAGAAATCTAGCTTAGCATATGTACCCCCCAAAAACTGCAACCAGAAAGTATCGAATGTGAAATTGTTAGGTCGGGTTGAAAACAACAAACTCAATTCGTTCTATGGCAAAGAGATACAAACCATTTCCATAGTTAAATGATCTGCCGCCGCCCTAAACTGAATAATCTTCAACGTATAATCCAATGCAACTTTTATATATATTTTTCTGATTTCATAAAGTTGAAATGCGTCCTATAATTTTTAAACTGATTAGTGCTATGTAATTTCTCGTAGCTTGTGAAAAAAAGAAAGATTAATCCAACCTCTCGTAAGGAGCTAGCCTCTTTAGTTTTTGACTGTGATGTATATCTGTTCAACATGTTATCATATTTTTCTAAAGCTTTGTCAAATGCCCTTCGTGCTTCCTGTTTCATGAAATATAAGGATTACTTTGTTTTCAAAAATCGCTTAACGAAACAATAAACAAATTAGTAAAAATTATTGTTACCTTGAACTCTTTCAAGTCATTTTTGATAAAGAAAGATATCGGTTGTACCAATTTCTCTTCCACATCACTAATCTATATAGAAGAATTCAATGTCACCAAATCGATGTATCCGAAAAAAAAAATGCATTAGATCGTGACATCTCACATATGGACACACCTCTAGCTTGAACAAAAATCTTACGATCTTGATGAAAATTGACGTGTAATTACCAATTTCGATTTAAAAGCCAATGTGGCTTGAAGTGTATCGGCAAAGATTTTCACTGAGGGTAATATAAAATCTCGATCTGTGTGCAAAAAACAGCCTGGTTAAAAAACTGAGTATTAACGCTGGTGAAACCATTAAACAAATACCTATTATCGAAGCTTCAATCGAAGAATGCAAAGCTCGTTTAACTAGATTACTACTTGCATCATTTAATTCTTTCGAGTGTATGCGTAAAAAAAGAATATCTGATTAGTATGTACTAGAATTCAAACAAGCACCGAATGTAAAAATATTAACTAGAATATTCATCGACGTATTGTCGTAAGGCCTTCCAAAATCCATCCAGCCATTTTTCAAAATAGTCTACTTGCTCTTCAGCCTTTCGGATATTGGCGCGAAAATCGGGTGTGTCATTAATAGCTTCCTGAAAATTTGGAATGTTGAAGATAGATTCGGGTGAAAGTGCCAAAGACGCCATAATCAACTAGGAAATAAATTTAAAGTGAATCTGTCTCTCCAAGAATGTGCCCCTCTATTTATAGATTTAATTGTTGCTGTGGCTTTGGTATGCACGGCCCAAAAAGTCAATACCTTATATGTACGCTTGCCAGGTTAAAAATTATATATTCCGAATTGGAGAATGCTAAATGACTTTTTTTTAAAATGCTAATTGCTTGATTTTCTACTTAAAAGAAATAATTGAAAAACGATTCAACCTTTTTTAAATATCACTTACAATATTTGGTTCTGATTAATAACCTGTTATTTATACTTCCTTGGAACCATAGTCAAAAAAAAAGAAAAGAGGGTTTATTTCGGAAGGGGTGTATTTAGGGAGATATTTAAGGAGATCAGTTTTATCAAAGTTTCTATGAGCCTGTGGGGATTCGTTTAGATAGTAAAAATATAGCGACCATGTCAATAAATGAATCTAATTTAGAAAAAAGATTATATACTATAATTTTTTTTTTTTATAAAAATAATATAGAATTTTTATTTTTATTCATTAATTTTATTTTTAAAATTTTGAAATTATTATTATTATTATTATATCTATTATCTGATTTAATAAATTATTTTAATAAACTTTTTTTTTTACTATAAATAAATATTAAATACTATATTTTATTAATATAAAATATATATTTATTTTATTTTTATTTTTATTTTTTTTTTAATCCACAGTTAGGTCAATATAGTATGTCTTTATTATATATAGTATATGCTAGATATTTACAAAATATTGTAACTTTCATATATTAACTTATTTGTTATTGAAAAACTATTCTTTAAATACAATTTAAGGAATAATATTCATTCCTTTATTGATTTGAATAAGTCCTTAAATTAATAAAATTATTGTCTATAGATAATTATTCTAAATTTTATTTGCAGTTAAAAATCAAATCATTTGATTTCATGATAAACCCATTTTTTAATAATTTTCATATAGTTCTTTTCTTCCTTTCTTTTTATGTTTTTTTGATTCAACTCTTTTAAAGATCCTATAAATTTCTTATAATCTTGTTTGATTTATATATTAAGTTTATATCTAAATTTTCTTAGTTTTTTATCTTTTTCAATAATATTTTGTTTCTTTTTCATTTTATTATTTAGGCATAATAGTTATTTCAAATCTTTTATTAAAGTCTTTTTGTGTCTTTTGATAAAATTTATTGATTATATTATATTTTGATACTAATAGAATATTTATAATAACTCTTTAAGAAAATAAAATATATATTTATTATATTAATAATTTATTTAAATTAATATTAATCTATTGTAAAATATTCTACATATATAATTGCTTTCAAAAGTTTAAATCTATTTATTATGTTTTTATTATAAATTTTAATATTAATAATTTTTAATCTTTAATTATGCAATTAAAAATTATAAAATTTATATTAATTATATCTTAATATAGTACTTATTCTATTTCTCATATTTTTAAAAATTTTTTTTATAAATTTTAAAGATTTATAATTATTAAATATTTTTATTTTTTTATTAATTATTATATGATTTATGATAATAATCAATTAAAATTATTTAAAAGTAAAAATTTTATAAAAAAATTTTTTTTTAATAATAATAAAACTTTAAAAAATTATATATAAAAAATTTTTGAAAAAAAATATACTATATTAAAAAATAAAAAACTCTTTCTATTGATCCTTTAACTATACACAAAAAAAAATATTTATAAAAAGTTTTATACTTTCTTACTAATAAAGTCTTTATATTTTTATTAAAATAACTTGAAACTTGTTTTTATTTATCTCTACTACTTTCCCTTACGTATTTATAAACTCCTTTAATAAAAACTTGAATTTATAGTAATTTGAAAAGATTTAAGTATATACTTCCTCTACTAAGGGCAAGAAAATTCTAGGAAATAAAAGAATTAACAAGTAAAGTGTTACTTTATAGAACTAGAAGTGACAAGAAATAGAGATTTTGTTGATAGGGAAAGACCTATTATCCACTTTCTTATATACTATTTTATATCTTTTTAAAGTGTCTACTGTTTTATATAATTTTCTTGAAGAATTTTATCTATCTTATTTTGATCCTGAATTTTAGGTAGCATAACATCACCTAGTATCTAATTAATTGATATGAAACACATTAGTAGTTGAATATAAACAAGTCCCTATTGATTACTTTATGTGTTTTGATAATATTATCAGTAATTAAAAGAATTGATTGGTGCCTATATCTGCCCCACTTCTTTAATTGGATTAACCTACAGATAGTAATTACAATGGATTAAATTGAATCAGATTTTAACTAGATTCAATTTGATTCAGTTTTTATAAATATGAATCAGATATGTTTTAAACTAATCTGATCTAATTCAAAACTATAATAGTTTGATTCGATCTGATTTGAATCTGAATTTAATTTAATTTGATCCAATCTGAATTTGAATCTGATTCAGATTCAATACAAAAACAATTTGAAATCTATTTGGTACATATTAAATCTATTTCAAAATATATTCAACTATAACTACTTTGATTTAACTAATTAAATTAAATATATTTAAATTAATCTGACTTTATTTAATAAAAAAAATTTTAACTAGTATATTTTCTTTCAGAAATATTTTTTAATTTTAAATTTAAAATTTTTTCTTCTATTAAATTTAAATAAATTTATTTATTCAACCCATATTCATTCACTTATTTCTATATTAATATACTCTCCACTATAGCCATTACTTTTTAAAATAACTTGATTTTCTATATCATTTTTTTATTTATTTTTTATTATCGATATTTTTAGTGTTTGCAAAGCATATTGATTTGTTGATAATTGATTATATTGGTAATCCATACAATATACTTCTTCTTTATATTTTCTTTATTTTTTTATAGCTGATATTGTTTTTTTTGACTAAATTTTAGGTCTACCTACAAGTTATACCTTCTATTGGTAATACTATAGTACCATGCAATTTATTTTCTGGTCAGCAATAAAAAGTATTTCCTAATAAAAATTGTGGTAATTTTAATTTATATTAATAATTTAAATTTTTAATAATTTGTAATGTTTAAAAAATACCTATCATTTTAACTTTAATTTCCTATTTAACTATGTAAAAGTTGCCTCCATTAAAATCCCCTTTATGGCAGACAAATTCTTTATTATTAACAGGTCATATTTCTCTCAAGCAAGTAGCTGCAATTGTATGATCCAAAAAATTAAGATCAGTGTGAGCAAATTTGCTATATCTTCAGGCTACATAGGTCTCACATAGATCTAAAAGATAGTTTAAATATATTTTTTTATTATTGAAAGAAACTATAATTTTTTTATCAATAGTACCATATTTGTTACCAGCTAGCTGGGGTAAATTGTATTCTTCTATTTTTTTTTTATATACTTGAGGTCACATTTTAGGAAATATATACATGACATAGTTGAAAAGAAAACTATTCATCACTACAACTTTCTCTTCTTGCAAATATTGCCTTTTGAACCTTCATAATTCAATAGGTATGTTATGTACATGGGTAAATATTCCACTTTCTCTTGTCAAAAAATACCTGCAAACATTAACATTAATAAAGTTTTAAAAATATAAACTTAAGTTTAGTTAAATATATACCCTGCAACTGTTAAAATATTTTGATTCAATTCTTTGATTTCTGGTGATTGGACAACTTGTCAGTACAAAACAAATATGTCAATAATTATGCTTTTCATGAGTTTAAGTATATCAGGATCAATATGATTTTGGTATATAGTCAGTATCAGCTTATTGGAGACTTTATCACGAACTATTATTTTTTTATTTTTTTTTATTATTTTTGGAAGACAGGTGGCAGTATCGATTATAGGTACATGGGAAGGCAAGAGATTTGTTTTTTCAAATATCTACTTTTTTTATTTTTTTTTTATTATAACCAGGGAGAGAATTAAGATATATCATTTTTACTGCATATACCTTTTCAAGATACTTTTGAGTTAATAAATTTTTCCTGATCTGTAATTTAGTTAAGTTAATACAGTTAAAAAAAAATCATAAAAATTTTAACTTACAAAATTTTTATGATTTTTTTTTTTTTGAATTTTTTTGCATTTCAATGTTGACCTTCAAAATAGTAACAGAATTTTTCAAATCATTATCACAAGTAATCAAGAATCTTAAAAAATCTCTTCACTAATTGACCTGGTATTGTTTTATTATTAATAAACTTGAAAATATATACAAGTATTTTTTATTATATTTATATGCTAATAAGTATTGATATTAGGGTCGGAAATGGTCAGACGAACATTCAGCAAGTGATGTATTGATTTACTTAAAAATACAGCATATTTTATTGGATTATCGTATTTTTGTGATACAAGAAAATGGAGAGCAGCAACAAAGGTTTCTAAATTGAAACATTTAAAATTAGCTTAATATATACAGTACTCTGCTAATGCAAATAAAAAATCAATAATCAAAATTAGTCTGTTATTGATAAAATTCCACATGCTGGCTCAAGGTTTCCCACTGGTAACAAATGATATCAATTGATACCTGCAAGTAGTATTTAATAACAAGCTTGCTTACACTAGTTCAGAGTTTTCTACTGGAGGCACAGGTATTCTTACTATACCATTTCTGCCACAGTACCAATACAATAAAGGCTGCTAGTTTAGAGTTTTCTATTGAAGGTAACATCAATACTATATTAATACTTATACATACTATCTTGTATCAATATGGGCCTACCTGCACTAATTCAGAATTGTCCACTGAAAGTACATAGTATGATTAATCAATACAATATATAAAGGGTATATCGATTTAAAATTTTTTTCACTCACCTTTTGCAAAAAGGAATTGGTGATTTTTTGCAACTTTTCGACTTATGTTGGTTGGATTAATGCTATTTGAATAGTGTTACAATCAATACTAGTAGCAATAAAGTAACAACAGACTATTATAGTATTGACAAATATTGCTTACTTGTT